CTAACAATGTAAATGGAGTGTATTCTTCTACACATTTTTCTGTGCAAAGACTGGAGAATTTTTTTTTTCTCTGCCAAAGGACATGTGAGTATTTGTGACATCATTCATGGACCAAACAAAACTATTAACTTAAAAGTTAGCCTGCTGTAGATTTACTGGATCGTTCTAGCAATGCAATTCCTTTTTTCTTTTAAGGTTTGTTTATTTTTGCAAAGGCAGAGAGGGGAGAGGAGACGGAGGGAAAGATCACTGCCTAAATGGCGCACGGCAGTACCTGAGCTAGTCCGAGAGCAGGAGCCTGCTCCAGATCTCCAGCGTGAGTGCAGGGGAACAGGTTGTTGAGCCATCCACTGCTTTCCCAGGCCGTAAGCAGGGAGCTGGACGGGAAGTAGAGCAGTAAAGACATGAACTGGCACCCACATGGGATGCCTGCGCTTGAAGGCAAAAGATTAGCTTATTGAGCCATGGTGTTGGCCCCAGCAATACAGTTCCTACCTGCAGCTGTCTTGGCAGGGCAAAGTGAAATGATTTCACAGGCTTTATATGGCCCCTAGACTGGACATTCCCACGACTGTGCTATACGCTTACAGGGGAGCTTTACAAAGTTCATGAGAAAGTTGCAGTATTTTAATTTCAACTCTTTACAAACTTGCAGCTATTGGAGTCATCCCCTGCCTCCCATGGTGCATGTTGGCAGGAAGCTGGATCAGAAACAGGGGCTAAGACTTAAACCAGGGACGCCAGTGTGACATGTGGGTATTGGGTGGTTTTTGTTTGTTTTGTTTTTAAATATTTATTTATTTATTTATTTATTTATTTATTATTGGAAAATCAGATATGCAGAGAGGAAGATCTTCCATCAGATGATTCACTCCCCAAGTGACTGCAATGGCCAGAGCTAAGCTAATCTGAAACCAGGAGCCTAGAGCCTTTTCTAGGTCTTCCACACAGGTGCAAGGTCCCAAGGCTTTGGGCCGTCCTCGTGTGTCAGGAAGCTGGATGGGAAGCGGGGCCACCAGGACACGAATTGGTACCCATATGGGATTCTAGCGCTTGCATAACAAGGACTTTAGCCACTAGGCTGTTGCACCAGGCCTGGCATTGGGTGTTTGAAGCAATGTCTTAACCACTGGGTTGAACTCTCGAAGCGGAAAAGGATTAGTGATTTGAGGGGCCAGCATTGGGGTGTGATATGTTAAGCTACTGACTGTGAAGCCAGAATCTCCTGCTGGAGTTCTGGTTTGAGTCTTCCCTCCACTTCTGACCCAGCCCTGGGAAGGAAGTAGATGGTGGCCCAGGTTCTTGGGTCCCTGCTGTCCACATGAGGGCTGCCCCTTGCTTTGGCCTGGCTGAGCCCTTCTATTGTGGGCATTGGGAAGTAAAGTCCTCACCTTGCACCTGCCGGGATCCCATATGGGTGCTGGTGCTAATCCTGGCAGCCCTGCTTCCCATCCAAGTCCCTGCTTGTGGCCTGGGAAAGCAATCGAGGACGACCCAAAGCCTTGGAACCCTGTACCTGCATAGGAAATGCAAAAAAAGCTTCTGGCTCCTGATTTCAAATCAGCTCAGCTCTGACCGTTACAGCCACTTGGGGAGTGGATCATCAGGCAATAAATCTTCCTCTCTTTCTCTCCTCTCTGTATATCTGCCTTTCCAATAAATAAAATTTAAAAAAAATTAATTTAGCAAAAATTTTAGTGCTGATTCTCTGTCGAGAAATATCCCCATAGCTCCATTTCTTCTGGATCCTTCTGCTAAGTGCGCCTGCAGCCTCTCCCTGTCTCACTTGGCCTGTGAGGCAAACTGGCGTGCTCTGTCTACGCTAGGCCACTTGCTTCACCTCCATGTTTTAGAGAAGAGAAATAGACTAGCTTCAAATCAGAATGAAATAATGGCGAGAGCATAACTAGAGCTGAATGTTTCTTGACTTTCAGCATTTCCCATATCACCTCTTAACCTTCTATCCTGATTTTCTGTCCTGGTGTAAAGGAACAAATCTAACGTCCCTCCTGTGTGCCACCTCTTAAGACATTCATGGCTAGTTATCTCCTCCTCTTTGGGGGGTGATTTTTTCAGTGCCTTCAAGTTTCTCATCCCTTCTCATCCTGTAGGCTGTTCCTCCTATCATCTCCACGGCTGTGGATCTCAAGTGTGGCTTCCACATCGCCTTCTTCCCTAGCTCCCCATTCATGCAACAGATGCATATTGATGTTTGTGCCTAGCACTGTTTTAGTACTATCTAGTTCCTGCTTGGGGAACTTACCAGAAGAACAGTATCTTAGGGCTGGCATAGTGGCTTAGCAAGCTAGTTCTTTGACTGTAGCGCCAGCATCCCATGTGGATGCTAGTTCGAATCCTGGCTGCTCCACTTCCCTTCCAGCTCCCTGCTTGTGGCCTGGGAAAGCAGTGGAGGATGGCCCAAGGACCTGGGCCCTGAACTTACATTGGAGATCCGGATGAAGCTGCTGGCCCTTGGCTTCGGACCAATCTAGCTCTAGCTGTTGTGGCTATTTGGAGAGTGAACCAGCAGACGGAAGATCTTTGTCTTTCCATCTATCTTGTCGTAATTCTGACTTTCAAGTAAAATAAACCTTTAAAAGAAAAAAAGATGTTTGAAGATTCCAAGTTGTGTAAAGGAAGTGAAGTAGCATCAGTTGAGTGAGACTGTTAGATTGGGTTGGTTAGATTTGTTCTTCTTAAGGCCGTGACGGCTCCTGGGGAAAGAGATCTTCTTTGGACGAGAGATTAGTGTAAGATGAAGTTGGAAAGATCTTAGGGGTCCTTGCAGGGGCCTTTAGGCCAGACAGCGTTAGGGTTAGTGCAAATGGAAGTCATTGGTGGATTTTAAGCCATCGAGACATCTGATTTCCCCTTTAAAAAGATTACTGAGAAGCTTGTTTACCTTGGAGCAAGGTTTCCTTTTCCCTTACACCTTTTCCTCTTCCTAAAATTTCCTGGGATTGGCAGCGGGGCTGGTTGACTCTACTTGGGGTCCTGCAGGGGACGGTGAGGCGAGTCCTAGTTACTGGCAGTTGCAGGAGGTGGGAGGAGCTGCCTGAGACCTGAGTCAGTCGGGGTCAGGAGGTCTTTGCGAGGAGGTCTCAGGCCAAGGAACTTTAGTTCTTGGGCAGCCAGATGGGGATGGAGCCAAGGGTACCAGTTGCAGGAGGGGCAGACAGGAAATGAGTGGAAACTTGCAGTTTGAGTCACTTAGAAAAAAACTTCAGGAGAGAGCCAAGAAACCAGTGAGCTGAAGAATAAGCCTGTTGTTTGCCTGGTGGAAACCACCTTGTTGTGGCTCATGCCTCAAGCAGAATTTGGACATTTACTTGCTTGGCTGTTCTGGCCCCTTCCTCTCAGGTGACATCCATCTGGCTCCCTGGAGTCTAGGTGACAGGCTGGTGACTCTGGAAGCCAGAGGTCTTGGTTCTGGAGCAGCCTTCGGGGGGATAAGGAGGACAGCTGGGAGAGAAGGATCTAAGGCCGGGATTCTCTCAATCTGTTGAGGATTTTTTTTCTTTCCTTTTTAATAAGTTTTAGTTTGGCAGAGAAAGACCTTTCATTCCCTGGTTCCCCAGATCCCTGCAACAACAGGGCAGGGACAGCCCAAGCCAGGAGCATAGGACTTAATTTGTGTCTCCCACATGTAGGGCAGGGACCCAAGTACTTGAACCACCATCACAACCTCCCAGGGATTACATTAGCAGGAAGATGGAGCAGAAGTGGAGAAGCCAAGACAAAACCAAGGCATGACAGTAGAGGCTACAGGTGTTTAAGCAGCAACCTAACTGCTACACCAAATAGCCATCCCTTATTGTTGATCTGAAATAACATGCCCGTTCCAGTGCCTCGGGGTTCACAGATTGCTAGCCAGTTGCTGGTCAGGTGGCTGTTCACATATCCCCGATCTGTACTCATGTCACCCCTCTACCATTTACTTCCACTCTAGTATTGTGGGCCTTAAAAAGTCAGCGAGTAAGGGCCTGGTGTGGTAGCCTAGCAGCTAAAGTCCTCGCCTTGCATGCGCCGGATCCCACATGGGCGCCGGTTCTAATCCCGGCAGCCTCACTTCCCATTCAGCTCCCTGCTTGTGGCCTGAGAAAGCAGTCGAGGATGGCCCAAAGCGTTGTGACCCTGCACCCATGTGAGAGACCTGGAGGAGGCTCTGGGCTCCTGGCTTCAGATCAGCTTAGCTTGGCTGTTGTGGCCACCTGGGGAGTGAATCATCAGAAAATCTTCCTGTCTCTCCTCTGTATATCTGACATTCCAATAAAAGTAAATAAATCTTAAAAAAATAATTCAGCAGATGAACAGTCATTCTGTCCAACTTGCAGAGGTGGCCAGAGACCAGCAGGTTCAGGGGGCGTGCCCATGGTTGTGTGTCTGCTGAGTCTTGTCACCAAAGTCAGAGCTCCATTACTCTGGGTCTTTTCCCATAGTGCTCAACCTTTCTTAGTTTCAATTTCTGAAAAATATTTTCTGACTTTGTTGTAGTAAAAAAAAAAAAAAAAAATTGCTTGCAGACAGGAGTGGGAGGGAGAAGGAGAAAGGCAGAATTGTGTGCTAGTTCACTTCCCAGTGCCCGCAGTATCTAAGGTTGGGCCAAGCTGAAGAGGAGCCTGAACTCCCACCCGCCTGAGCCAGCATCCACTGCCTTCCCAGGCACGTGAGCGAGGCGCTGGATCCAAAGTGGAGCATCTGGGTCTCTGCTGTGGATGTTGGTGTCACACGTGGAGGTTTATCCTGCTGCATCCCAGTGCCAGCTGCCTACTTGCTGCTCAGGTTCCGTTCCCTTTGTCCCTGCGACAGCCAGCTGTGAGGAGTAGCATCTTCCTGGTAGTCCCTCAGGTGTCCTTTGTGCTGGCGTCACCCTTCTCCCAGAAGTTTAGCAGAGTAAATCCCTTGAGAGAGGAAATCCTGCAGGCTCCCTGGCACCACTGACTGGTACTCTCTGGGCTTTGCCCGTTCGTGCTCTCTGACCCTTCTGTTTCCCTTTCCAGGAGTCTGGAGGGACGTGGCTGGATCAAGACCCCCAATGTGAACACGCTCGCTCCTCCCCTCACCGCCCTCTGCTGCCACGCCAGGGAACATCCTCGAACCCTGGCCCCCAGGGGAGAGGGAGCAGGAGCCCAGAGCCGAGACCATGTGACGGCGCTGGCCCTTGCCACCGCCGTCCCCCCAACCCTGGCCCCAGGCCCGGCACCATGATGTTCCGAGACCAGGTGGGCATCCTCGCTGGCTGGTTCAAGGGCTGGAATGAGTGTGAGCAGACAGTAGCCCTGCTGTCTCTTCTGAAGCGGGTCACCCGTACCCAGGCCCGCTTCCTGCAGCTCTGCCTGGAGCACTCATTGGCGGAATGCAATGACATCCACCTGCTGGAGTCGGAAGCCAACAGTGCTGGTGAGTCCTCACCCCCAGTAATGGGACTCTGCAGCAGGACGGGGGCAGGCTGAGGAGGCTGACCCCATGGCGGGGCTGAGAAATGGGGTTTGCAAGCTTGATGAGGGGAATAGGGGAACGGCAGAATTCTTCCAAGATTGACGAGTCAGCCTACAATAGTGTTCAGTCCCAAAGTGAGGTTGCACTTAAGGCTTAAACGGGAGAGTTTTGGTTTCAGCTAGTGTTTTTGGTGGAACTTCCATAATCATAGGGAGGTACTCTTGTGTCTTGTGAGGTCAGCATAGGGATGGATGAGCCAGGATTCGCTAGAACTTAGGCCTCCATGGGCCTGGGTGGACAGCTGTTGATTCCAGTGATGGGTGGGAAACAGAGAAACCCGTGGGGAGGAAGCTGAACAGATACCTGAAAGCCCCGGGCAGGGGCCCACAGGCTCCATGCCGGGTTTGTCTGAACTTGGCACGACTCTTCCCGCTCTTCTCATCCTTCATCCTCACAGCTCACACTGAACCTTGACTGCAAGCACAGTGCGGACTTGACTTACAGATGAACTTTGAAAACAGTGTTCTTCAATGGGCTTCAAATCAGGCTGCTTAGGTTTAATCCCGGGTTTTCACTTAACCACATAACCAAGTAATTTAACCTCGGTTCCCTCTTTGTAAGATGAAGGTGTTGCTGACATCTGCCTTATCGGGTGGGTGTGAGGTCGCAGTGCAGCCCTCGGGGCAGAGCCTGGCATGCGTGGATACCCGATACCCGCCCGTCGTGTCTGTTATGCCTCATCTACTCCTCCATGGGCCACGCCAGGTGCTGCTGGCCTCCCTGCTGGCGGATGAAGGCTGGGACAGATCAGTGGGAGCCACAGAGCCCCAGGCCTTGGTGACAGTGAGCCTTTGGCTTGTTTTTTTGTGTTTTTTTTTTTTTTTTTTCATTTTTTCCCTCCAGTGCCCATCCGGGATGCCAGCATTGCAGGCAGTGCTTTACCCACAGCACTGCAGCGCCACAGCGCCGGCCCTTGTCGAACTTCCGTGTGTGAATCACAGGAACACCTGGCTGTGAGCTGCTTGGACAGGAATCACATGATCCTGATCCCCAGACCCACATGGCAGGCAGGGAGGGCAGCAGACCCAGCGGCAGCAGCTCGGGGCTCACCACTCCCCACCTCCTGTCCCCCCGCCAAGAAGGGCTCCCCTCTTGTGGCTCTCCAGGATAAGTCAGGGTGTCTGGGTCATGATTCCCACACCGCCGTCCTTCTGGCTGAGTAGCCTCCGATGGGGGTTTTGCCTGTGCAGCAGCATCCCCTGCAGCGTGTGTCGCTGTTGGAGAACACCGTTAGGTTCTGCTTTTTGTCTCTTTAGCACTTGTAGTAAAATACAGAAAATGACAAGGGGGGGCCCGTGTTCCCAGTTTGTTGTTGCCGTGTATGAGTTCTGTGCGTGTGGAGGCACATCCCTGTTCTCCTTCCAGCTTTGTCAGTGTTTCAGGCGTTTCAGCACAAGCAGTTGAGCAGCGTGCATCTTCCCTAGTTGGTTGGTTTCAGCTCACCATGGTGCTGTGAAGGCTGGCCGCCGGTCTGCACCTCTGTGTCTGCCCCATTATTGTTCATGGCTGTGTCATAGAGAGCGGGTCACATTGTAGGGCCTTGCGATGTGCCAAGCGGTACTCCACCTTTAGTATGAGTGTGACCCTTACAACAGTGCTTTAAGATCATTTATGCTGCTGCACCATTGTATAAATGAGGAGACTGAGGTTTGGAGAAGTTAAATTTCTTGCTCTGAATGACCTGATTGAGCAGAATTAGAACTCAAATTGGACTTTGGAGTCCTTGCCCATAGGCTCGACTGTGTGGTTTTTTTGGTCTCGTCCTTGCAAACTGCTGGAGTGAGTTGAGTGGCCTCCCAGCACCTCTAGGAGACAGTCCTAGAATTCTGTGGCCCTGCTAGTCAGGAGGAATGTGCATGTAAAAATTCTGTTCACATTGCCTTGAAAGACACTGCTGATGCCCCACTCAGACTGCTGGGGGTCATGCCAACCCAGGAACAGGTGTGCCATGAGCTGAGTCGCAAACGTGTGAATCAAGTTTGTGTTTTTTTTTTTTTTTGCTACACTGGGACTGTATTTTATTTGAAGATTATGTATTATTATACAGATCTGTTTTCATAAATCAGTGGTATTCAGTTATGTGGAATATATGCTATTTAAAACCATTCTGAGTCACGATACAGTGAACTTGTTCTGAGTAGGACTCAATGGTTTAGGTTTTCTGTGGAGATGGTTTTATTAAGTGATCTAGATCAGTATAAGGTATAATTGTATATTACTCACCAGAATGGAGCATTTATTACAAAACTAAATTTCTGTGATTTTTGGAGAACTGAATTTAGAGCCCAGTGTAAATAAGACCAAAGCTCTGGTTAAAGATAACCAGTTAGTTATCTTTGTCTCGTTTTTAATGAATCAGTCTTTTTCCACAACCCCATGTCAGAATGTGAGAACAGAGCAAACTGGTGGTTGAATGGGTAGAGAGGTAAGGAAGCTTAGGAAGGAAGGGAGGGCCTTGGTGTATTCCAGAATCAGCTGAAGCCTGCCAGCACTGAGACACATCGTAATGTGAGGGAAAAGTGATCCGCAGTGACACTGTAGGCACCTGACCGCCTGCTTCCTCGTACCCCAGCGGCCCCCCTCACAGTCCCACCCTGTCCTTCAAGGAAGGGCCTGCTCCCTGGGCCTGAGGGCCTGGCGGAGGGAGCTGTCACTCCTGTTCCTGCCACGGCTGCTGTCCCCAGCCAAGTCAGAATCCCAAGAAGCTGGGCCTGAGAGCCTCCCAGGCGGTGAGAGGCCGTGCCTTGCTGCGTGATTCACTTGGCAGGCACGTGACAAGGAGTCGCGCCACCCTAGAGCTCTGGATCCAGCTCTACCACTCCTAGTGCCTCTTGTGGCCTGGGTCAGTCCTGCCCCTCCCATCTGCACAGCAGGATACTTTCGAGAAACCTGGAACAATGTGCCAAAGAAGGCAAAACCACAGCTGCGCGTGCCACTTTCTGGAAGCCTCACCCGCCCTTCTCACGGGGCAGACTTCTTCCTGTGTGTTGGAGGGCTCTCAGAAATCTACCCCCTCTGCCCAGTGAACATACTTACCCCACCAGAGAGCTGCCCACTAGAGCCTCCCTCCCTCCTAGATGCCCCCAGACCCACTCCCTGACCAAGGAGGCAGATCCCTGCCTGTTTCTACCCTCCCAACCCTGCTGCCTCGCCCAGTTCTCCAGAGACCCTTGGTTTGGATTTGGGTCAGAGTTGCCAACTTGCTTATCACCTGGGGTAAGATGGAGGGTACAGAGGGGTTGACCCAGGCCAGGGTTTCCCAGCGCTGGCTCTGAGCCACAATCCCTCAGGGACTTTCTAACAGTAATATGAGGCCTAAGGTCTAGGTACTGTCCTGGAGATTGAAAGATCTCCAGCTGACTCTTGGAGACATGCAGTGAGCACCTCTTCTCCTGGTCCTGATGCTGATTCTGAGGGCTTCCAGGCGGCGCTGAGGATGCTGTCATATGACCTGCTGTGTGGGTCCACTGCCTGGGCTGTGTCTGCTCAAGAAGCTGAAAGGGTGGAGGAAAGTGCTGCAGCCCAGATGGCCCCGAGGCAGCAGCCTGAAACAGAAAAACATACAACCAGCCAGAGAAAACCCAACTCCAGGGGTCTTCAGCACAGGGCGTGAGGAGACCCCTGTGCCCATCCTGGTCTCAGTCCTGGTGCTCTGTTCCCTGCCTGTTGGGAGCTGGGCCAGGAAGCCTGGCTCTGTCTTTTCCACACTGCTGATTTGATGTTCCTGTGGACAAGAGTGAGGAGCAGGACTCTGTCTCCCTCCCTGGTCCTGGCCTTTCTTCCTGCCGCCTGTCCTCTGAGTCAGACCTGCATCTAGCAGAGTTGGGCTCCTCCTTCTCTGGCTTGCTGATTCTGAGTGAGGAAACTGAGGTCAGGAGGGGGCCGAGGTGAGTGAGCCAGCAGAGCGCAGCCCTGATGCCTCCACCCTCCATGCTCAGGCTGTGCTGACACAGTTCATCCAAGAAAAATGAGAGCCCCCTGTTCCTCCCCCACATCTGGGAGCCAGGCTGAGGCAAGGAGGCCCAGCCCCTGACTGGTGCCTGAGGCTGCCCCGGTTGTGGCAACAGCCAACAGCCCAGCACATCGCATAAAAAGGCTTTGCTCTTAAAGCAGCCGGTTGGCCCTGGCTCTGGCTCCTGTGCTTTGCTAGGACCTGGGTCATGACCTGCTTAGCTCTGATCCCCCCCCGACCAGCCCTGTTTCTGTGGTCACAGCAGCCAAGGAGGGCACTGGTCTTTCCCCAGCCTCGCCAGGTCTGCAGAGCCTGGGGTGCAGCCCACTGGTGTCACAGCGTTCCCCCTCCACCCACCCCCAGAATTTCATCACTGTTGTGCTGCTAGCTTCAGGGGACTGGAGATGTGTCTGTGTTTAGTAAATAACTGCATAAAATTTCCCACCCCTGCTGAGACGCTCCAGAAGGGGGCCCTGGATGTGCTTCCTGTCTTCCATGATCTGCTCCCCTGGGCCCGGAACAGCACTAGCTCCAGGTCTTCATCCGGGAGAATGTGCCAGGTGCTTTGCATAATTGTCCCATTGCCTCTTTGCAACAACCCTGTGATGTAGGGGGCACTTTGACTACCCCCATAACAAGGGGAAAGAAAAGGTTCAAAAGAAGTTACAATCCTGGTCCACTGTTAGATCAACCTTGATGGCCAAGGTAGAACAGGATTTTGAAACCAGGCAGGTTTGCTGTTGAACTTACATTGAGCTCCTAATGTAACACCCTGTTAGGACCTGAGGCTGGGAAGATCCCAGAGGAGACAGTTGGATGCACAAAGACCCCACTGCCTTCCAGGGGGCCATGAGGCTCAGTTGTGCAGGTGTGAGTTGGGCTCCTGCTGGGCCTGCACTCGGCGGCACAGGAAGCCGGCTTTCCCTCCCCACCTCGAACCCGGCTTTCC